CCTCCCGCGGGCCGGCAGCGCCCTCTGCCGCCACCGCCCGGCCCTCGGCAGCGGGAGTGCCGGAGCATCCCGCCGGAACCCTGGCCTCCTCGGCCCGCCCGGCAGAAAGCCCCCTCCCGCCCCAAAAAAAAACCCTGACGAAGCTCCTGCTGGCAGCAAAAGTTTTAGTTTTGTACGAGTTGATCTTTAAATACGAGCAGAGTCGTAAACGCAAATCTATAGATAGTAATTAAGGTGGCAATGTAAATCTAGCAATTGAAGTGGCCAGGTGAATCCAGCATTGCCGCGTAGCGGATCAGCAAATTTCAGAGTTTATGTATCCCTGTGACAGAGTTAATGAACCTGGCAGTGTGTTTTCCAGCACGGAAAAGTCGGAAAAGTGAGAAAAGAAGTGGGAAAAACAGTAGGGGAGCGTAGAAGGATAGGGTGTCAAAAGCAGTTTGTTCCCTGCTGGTACCCTGGATATAATCAAAGAAAGGGAGGTCAAATAAACATGGGCAGCAATCTCGGCTGGAAGCAGCAAGGAGGAAGAGGTGGTTCCTGTTCCCATATTGCCATCTAACACAAAGGGATACCTCGAGCCAGTAATTTCTGCAAATCCCTGTTTCCTGTAGGGATGGATCCTGGCACCCGCGAGCATCCCCGACCCCGAGGTCGAGCTGCGAGGGACGCTGAGCCCGGCACCTCTCCCTGCACCGCAGCGCTGTTGCCGCAGTTCATCTTTCCTCCGGCACACCGCTGCCCTCAGCCCGTGATTACTTATTCATTTTCCAGCTGCCGACCTGGAGGAGAAGGGCTTTTCCGCCTCCAGGCGCTCTGCTTCTCCTAGCTGCACTAGTTCGCTAGGAGATAAGTCACCCTCAAGCTATTGTGGGTGTAAAGACCTCCTCCTCCTCCTCCTCCTCCTCCTCCTCCCCTCTTGCGAGAGGGATAAAGGAGTGGGACAGCTGAGAAGGGATGCCCGGCGCTGCAGCAGTTCTTTGCTATTTAACTCCACCTACAGGCGTGCATCGAGCCTTGCCTGCAGCTCGCTGGATGCTCTCGAAAGCTGTTCTCTTTCCTTCTGCTACAAAAGTGTAATGAAGTCACTTTGGATGAGCCGGCAAAACCCAGCACTGATAGGCTATGCACGGAGAAATAAGATTATATGGGCTGGAGGGGGAGGATTACCAACGTAACTTATCGTCAGCCTTCACTGGAACAGCTCTCGAAGCATTCACATCTTAATCACTGGAGTTTTTTCCTCACCACATGGGGTTTTTCGCATCTGGCAGGTAAATTTGACCTCCAAGTCCAAAACACAGCACGGAGAAGCATTCTTCCCCTGAAAGGAACTTCGGTTCTTTCCCTAATTAATAGGTCAGATTGAATCACTAACCAGCTATTTTTCACGTGGAGCAGGCACAATCTCGTTCTGACATTGTTCAGGCTCTTCTGTGCCCATAGTTTGTGCTTCCCTCTGGGCTCTTCTCTCAAATGTCAAAATAAGAAATGCTGCTGCAAAGGTATGGAAATTCAAATGTATGAAAGCAAAACATCAGCCTTTTAAATACTGTACATCAGAGGTAAGCAAAATGGCTAAAATTCTGAGCAGGAAAGAATATCCAGAAAACAGGAGAATATCTAGACAGGAGGTTTTAAAGCACCATTTTTTTTATTGCTACTCTAGAAAATCATAACTAATGTTTGTAAATATTAGATCCCAGCATGTGCCCCTTGCATTCTATTAACAGAAAATGATACATTGCAAAGCTTTGCAACACATAAGAATGAATCAAACAAAATCTATTTGCCAGTTTACAGGCCATGTGATTTAATACTTTCAATTATATCAATGACCTGATATAATAA